TATTTGCCTCCCTCCTCCTTTGATTTCTCTCTCTGCTTCCTCTCTGCCACACCATGAACAATTCTCCTCTGCCAGGCTCCTCTGCCAGGCTGCCCTGTCTTGGAGCCAGCTGACTATGGGCTGAAACCTCTACAGACCGGGAGCCAAAATCAGCCTCTCCACTATTAAGTTGTGGGTGCTGGCACTGTGTCCAGCGATGAGACAGTGACTGAGACAGAAGGGGATGCCCCTGCCTGAGATGGGCCCTGGCTCCTCCCCCTAGTCCCGGGCTTCAGGAAGTTCCAAGCAGGCTCCTAAATAGGAACAGTAGAGAAGAAGCAGCTTGACATTAAGGTGAAACTGGGGATTTGGGGTGAGACATAAGGATGGACATCCCAGGTTAGAGGAACCCGGAATGAACTTCTAAGGGCATCTGAGTACTTCCTTCAGACCTGTGCGAGGCAAGAAACTGGAAGGAAAACATCCAACATGAAACAGTGTTCTGACTGTGGGTCCTTATAAAGTAGCTGAGTCTCGGGGGCTGGGGATTTAGCTCAGCGGCAAAGCGCCTGCCTGGCAAGCGCAAGGTCGTGAGTTTGGTTCCTGGTACCGGAGAAAAACAAAAAAAAAGTAGCTGAGTCTCTAGAAGTTTTCTTAGCTGTTTCTCTTTAATTAGGCAAAAATGTAACTCCAGAGGTTAAAAGTTATGACTTTCTTGGACTCTTATCCACAAAGCAGTCCTGCTGGGACAGACCCTGCAGGAGCTCTTGGCTTTCACCTTATAGCTTCTATAAAGGCTCAGAAGTTAGTTGGGTGGGGTGGTTCACATCTGTCATCCCAGCACTCTGGGAGGCTGAGGAAGGAGGATGGCAGCTTTGTGAGACACTGTCTCAAAAAAAAAAAAAAAGGTCTGAGGGTATAGCTTAGTGCAGAGGTCCTGGTTTCAATCCTTACTTTCCAAAAAAAAAAAAAGGTTACGAATCAGCTGGTACCACACAGGTCATTGTGTGACGGGTCCCTGGCCACCCACAGATGCTGGCTCTGAGGAAGGAGGTAGGGCTGATGGTCACAGTCACCCCAGGCTCAGCTCTGCACTGGCTTCACTCTTGGTATACAGAGGAGAGAGGGAACAAATGGAGGTCTGTTCTCATCTTAAAATTCATTGATTCAAAAGTTCCTCTCACTTGGAGGTTATATTTTCGACTTACTATTTTCAAATAAGAAGTCCAAATTCAACAGAATGTGGACTGCAAAACAAATGTTAGTATTCAAGTCTCATGCCTTGCTGGTGAGTGTATAAAGTTCAAAAATTACTTTCCGGTCACCCTGGAAAAATACCTCGTTAGTTTCTGAATAAAAACCAAGCCAACACTTATTATTCCACACAGCAATCACACCCAGGCACTTCCTCCAGAGAAATGAAAATTCCATCCGCACAAAAGCCCATACTTGGTGTTCACAGCAGCTCTAATATCGGAAGTGTTTCTCAGCGGGTAATGGGTTAAACAGACCATACTCAGCAGTGAGAAGGATGGGACCATTGACGTAGGTAACCTCTTGGGTGGATGTCAAGGGCATCATGCTGAGAGGAAGAAGCCAGTCTCAAAGGTTGCATGTGTATGAGTCCATTGACTCATAACTTTCTCAAAATAACAAAATTATAATGATAGGAGTGATGGTTTCCAGGGTTTGTTCAGAAGGGAATGAGATGGAAGATGGGGTGGGGAGGGGGTTCTTGTGGGGACAGGACAGTCCCAGGTATTGCTTATGGTGGTGATTGTACAAATCTTCCCATGCGAGAAGATGACAGTGAAGTAGAGACCTGCTTTCCCAATATCAGTTTCCTGGTTCGCATTCTGTAATCCAGTGAGGAAACGTGTGGCCGCAGGGAACATGGTTTGGGTAAAGGAGACCTCCCCAAACCATCTTGGCAACTTCCTAAGAATCTATAATTATCGAAGAATGAAAAGCTTAAAAAATAGGAATTTTACTGTCAAAAACTTGATAATGAAGCATCTTAGAGAAAGGTCAGTGAGAAGGCAGCAGGGGAGGACAGGTGGGTGGAGACATCGCAGGAGCCTTGGAGTGGGAGTCACACAGCCTGTCGTCCCCGAGAAGCACAAGAGAGTCAGAGGCTGTTGGCAGCCAGGGTGGCTGTGGCCTTAGGAACGCTGGTGGGAAGGCCTCAGCCTTGTTCGAGCCCTTGCTTGTCTGACAGTGCTCTCCGATTGTCTTTGTTTTTGCAGTATGGGGGATTGAAAGTAGGGAGTGCTGGGCCAGGGATACAGCTCAGTGGCATAAGTGCCTGCCTGGCAAACACAAGGTCCTGACTTCAATTCCCAGTGCCAAAAAAAAAAACCAAACCAAACCAAAACAAACAAACTAGGGAGTGCTGAGCTCAGTGCTTTTAATTATTTTGTTATAAGACAGGGTCTCCCTATATTGCTCACGCTGTCCTTGAACTTGGGATCCTCCTCCTGCCTCCCAAGTAGCTAGGATTACAGGTGTGCACCCCCATGCCTGGCCTCTCTGTTTTGGGCACAGTTCTTCCCTTAGGAGCTTTACAAACAGTGGCTGGAGGGATGGGGTGGCTGCAGCCGCCACAGTGTGAACCCCACCCCCACAACACCCATTCTTGGTTACTGGATTTCATTCCCTCTGTTCCCCTTCGCTGGCCTAAATGCCTACTTTTACAACCCACCCTCTGAACTCGTGTCCTTAGAAAAGCATACACCTGTCTGTGGTGCCTCCAGCCCCAACACTAAGAATTAGCCAGACCCCAGGACCCTGGGCTCTCAAGCTGTCCTAGTGACATACCCGGCTCACTGGGACTGAGGCAAGGGGCTTGTGTGAGGCTGATTCTGCACTCCCTTTTCCAGCCTTGAGAGTCTTCTGCTCGGTGGGGTCAGAACTGCCACCCACTTTCATTTTCTCACCTCCTTGATCCTCACCTGAGATTTGAGAAACACTTGATTCCGGATTCTGTGTTACAAATGTCCGTTGGAGGTGAGAACAGCAGGCACGGAATGAGCCCGTTCAGTAGATAGGGTCCATATACGGATGCATGCAGATACATGCATTATATTCCAGTTTCCAACAGGGAATGGTTTATAAATAGAGCTGCAGTGAGGAACCATCAGGCAGGACCACAGAGATGGGTACTGTACCTATAACTGTTTGGTCCTCTTTCAAAAGCACTGGGACAGAGATGGGGGAATTGTCCCGGATTAAAAGACAAGAAGGAGATAAGACAGCTAAACACAATGTGGGGTCCTGGCCCGGATCCTGAACCAGAAAAAGAATCTTCTAGGAGGAGTGGGTAATGAGCAAAATTGGAATAGAATAGTCACAGCATAGTGTTCATGTTCATCTCCTGATTCTGAGAGTTGTGCTGTGGGAGCTACGGATGGGATAGGATGCTGAGGGAGGACTAGATAGACTTTTTGTACTATTATTGCAGCTTTGTGATAACTCTAAGGTTATTTAAAAATATAACATAATGAATAAAAGTGGACCAGTGGCAATAGCTGCATTCCCCCAAATCACATCAAGTCCCAGGGCCCCACATAGGCGTGAGCTTGTCTTCCAGGAATTCCACCGCCAGGGGCCAGGCAGGTGGGGACACAGGATGACACTTCTCACAGTTAGCTCCCCTAATGCTTTCCTGATTTGGGAAACTCCATCCCCTCGGCTTCCTGTCCCTTGGTCCCTCCTGGCCTCTCTCTTGCCACACAGCCTGGAATTCCAGCCAGTCCCCTGTGGCCAGTGACAGGCCAGGACCCCTCCCTGACCTGGCAAGTGCAGATGATCTCTTCCGGCTGGTGCCACAGCCTGACCACCGAGAAGAGACATTCCTGGGTCTGTGTCTCCAACAGGCAGAGCGCCCCTGGGAAGCAACAAGCCTGGCACTAGTGGCTTGCGTGAATGATGCAAAGTTTACACTCAGGAAAAAGTGGCGGAGCCAGCCATGGCCTTGGCAGCCCTTCTGGCCGTCCCAAGGTGAGGGACACACCCAGGTCCTGGCACACAGCACTTGTAAGAGCACCGAGATGTCATCAGCCTGGCAGGATGCCCGTGTTGGTGCCCAAGAGGCAGCCCTGGCAGAACCCGCTCTTGGGTGGGGTTTCACCTCCCCCACGCTGGACCCGCACTGCCCAGCTTCCCTTTTTCGGGACATCAGCCGCCCTTCCACCGGTCTGCGTGAAGTTCACTGAGTCAGGCCCAGCCTCTGAGGCAGGCGACAAGGGTGACATGGCCGGTGGTGTCCACCTTGTAGGCGGTGCCGCTCTAGCTTTCCCTCCTAGCCCGGGGTGGCATTGCCAACTTCAGAGCAGCAGAGAAGAGACCACCCTCAAAGTGAACTCTCAGGAGCGTCCAAGAGCAGAACACACTCTTTTGCCCTGATTGTTCACTGGACTCCAGTGTCCCCTCAACGAAAGGGGGGCGACAGGAGCCGGCGCTACGGGGACTTGGTTCTGTGGGACACTGCTGTCCATGCTCTGCAGATGACTCTGCGGCGCAGGCTGGGAGCAGCGCCATAGTCAGGGCCTCCAGGGTCGCGTAGAAGAAGGTTTCCCAGTGCAACTCGGGCATCTCAGAGACCGTTTAATGGCAGGTGTCGTTCTAAACTACCCTGTGTGGGGAGCCTACATGAGTCAAAGTCCAAGGTCTGGGAGGGTGACAATTCAGAAAACCCCCAACAGACCTGTCCGGAGCACCCCTCCCTTCCTGAACTTTTAAAAAGTAGAATTGTCTGAGAAACCATAGCCTAGAAGTCCCTTTGCAGTTTCTTGCTAAGGATCCTGGTTAGTCCAGGACGGAGTCCACACCCCTCCAGCAGCCAAGTGCCCGGCCTGCCTCACCCTGCCGGGTTTTGCGGGGACACAGGAAACCAACCCAATGGCATGAGCCCAAGCCCAGGCTGGCATCGGGCCTGCGCTGGGGAGATGCGCGACAGGGTGACAAGGCGTCCCGTCCCCTTTCGGGGGCGACCCCCGCCCCGTGGCCGCTGCCGCACTCACCAGCTCGGGCGCGAAGAAGGCGAAGGGGATGGTGAGGAGCAGGCGGACCCCCGAGGGCACGTCGGACGGCGCGTAGCTGGTGGCGGGCGGCGGGTCGCGGGCGGCCATGCTGTCCCCTGCTCGGCGCTCACGGCCTCCGTGCCTTCAAATAGCACCTCCGCCCGCCCGGTGACGGCGACACACCCCGGGGGAGGGGCAGCGTCCCGGGCAGGTCCACCTGCGGGGCGCGCGTCCATCCGGGGGAGGCAGGGAGTCTCTCTCCAGACTTCTCCCCGCAAGGAACCTTTGCACTTGGAGGGCATCGCTCCCGGGGTCGCCAGCGGCAGCCGCCCCTCGCCCCTTCCCTGTGCCGAGCGCAAGTGGGGGCTGTTTTGCCGAAGATGGCTTTTGGCGACTTACCACGAGTCAAGCCATCTACAGACACCTTCCCCCAACCCCCGGGGCACTTTTGTCCCTATTCAAGTAAGGAGACAGAATGAGTGAGGTCAAGTCAAGGTCACGGAGTGGACGCTAAAGATGCATTTATCTGTCTGCTTGTCCTGTGCGGTTCCTCCTTCTCCACCCCTGGCCGGCCCTCCCTTCCAGCGCCGGGGCCGGGCAAGACACGGACCAGCCCGCCTGTCTCACGCCCGTCCCCCTCCCTCTTCCTGTCCCGCCTCCCCTCAGCCCTGCGCTGCAGATGCAGGGGGCTCCCCTGCTGCCCGACGACTTGCAGAGGGCTCCTGAGAAGGGCCGGGCTGGTCCACTGCCGCTCCAGTTTGTGCCGCTTCCCTCCCTGCGCCCCAGCCCTGCCTAGCTGGTGCCTTGCCAGGAGCCGCGCTAGGGGCCAAGTGATTCCTTCCTGACTCCTCCCGCGGGCGATGGCTGGGACCCAGCGTGGGCCCTGCCTTTCCCACAAAGGACAGGTCCTGGAGACCGAACCATTTTCTCCCTAGCCTCCAACCCACTAACCTTCCTTTTCCTGACCCACCCTGAAGGAAGGTCTGGCCCCCCAGAGTCTGCTGTCCTGCTGCTATTTCACATTTTTTTTTTGGAGAATTTCAGTGCTAATGTCAATTCTCTTTTGTAACTTACCGCTAGCACTTTATTTATTTATTTATTTATTTATTTATTTATTCATTTATGGAGACCGGATCTCACTATGTAGTTCAGGCTGGCCTTGAGCTCACTCTGTAGCCCATGCTGGCCTTGAACCCACAGTGATCCTCCCACCTCAACCCACCCAAGTGCTGGGATTACAGGAGTGTGCCACTATGTCCAGCTGTATTTATGAGTTTTTTATGACTCTGGTAATAGTTCCAAAGTTTGCTACTTTTCATTGATGGCGTTAGACCATTTACATTTAATACTATTTTTGGATTGCATCTACCGTCTTATTTTTTATGTATTTGTTTTTATCCTGTTGCTTCTTTCCTGCATTCTTTTGGATTTTTTGAATATTTTTATTGTTCCATTTTCAATCATCTTTAATTCGGTTTTTGGCTATATCACTGTGGAAAAACAAAGACAAAGTCTCAGCATCTTCCACACAACAGATTATCGTGCAGTCTCATAACGAACGCCCTTGTGTAACTCAACATGCGCTGCCCTGCCAAGTCCCATGTTTTATAGAAATGCCATTCCCACATCCAGCCAGCTTCAGAGCCGTGTTTATGGTGGTGTCTTTGGCAATCCTTGTACAGCTCTTGCTAGAGGCCAGGCTGGTTCTGAGGGCTTTCCAGTCTACCCAGAGTTAGTATCTGCCACTTCAAATGGAGTGTAAAGATCTTAGCACCGTGAGAGTCCCTCCTGTCTGTTAATGTATTTGTCATCATATTAGATGTACATAAATCAAAAGCCCTCTCAGAAATGCCACAGCTATTGCTCTCAACCACTGTACTTAAGAGAACTTACAAGGGACAACTCTAGTGTATTTATCCGTAGAGTACATCCATATCACTGGCAATGTTCCCGGCTTCCTTCCAGTGTATTTTCCCTGTGTCCAAAGAACTCCCTTTGGCATTTTAGAGTAACTTTGCTGGTAATGAATTCCTTTACTTTTCTCCATCTGAGGATGTCTTTAGTTCACCTTTATTGCTGAAGAATACTGTTATGGAAGATAGAATTCTTGGCTGGCTTTTTTTTTTCTTGCAGCACTTTAAAAATATTGTTCTACTGCATAGTTTCTGATGGGAAATCTGCAGTCACAGATAGGCATGGGGATGCAGGTCTGTAACCGCAACACTCGGGCAGGCTAAGGCAGGAGGGTCATTAAGCCTGAGCCCGGCCTTGGCAACTTGGTGACTTAGTCAGACCCTGCCTTTAGATAAAAAAAATTCAAAAAGGGCTGGGGATATAGCTCAGTGTGAAGGCCCTGGGTTCAATCTCCAGTAACACACATGTACACACATGCACACGTGCACACACACACTCACAGCCCCGGTCACCCCTAGGAAAGCTGCATTCATTCAAATTGTTGTTCCCTTTGTTTCATGCATTGCTTTCCTCACGCTGCTTTCAAAGTTCTTTTCCTACAAGCAAACCCCTTCTGAGTGGCCAGTCTTTGCTCACATTAAAAACAACTTATGAACATTTCGTTTTTGAATCTGATGTCTGATTAGTAAAATGTTTATATAGTCAAAACCAAAGCAAAACCAAACACAAAACCCGCCCAATATTCTTTTCTTTGTCTTTAGTTTTAGTAGTTTGGTTATAATAATTCCCGGCCTTATCTTGTTTGACAGCTGAGCTTTTTGAATCTGTAACTATGTCTTTCACCAAATATGGGGAGATTTAACCTTTATTTCTTTTTTTTTTTTTTGGTTTTTTTCCAGTACCGGGAACCAAACTCACGACCTCACGTTTGCCAGGCAGGCGCTTTTGCCACTGAGCTAAATCCCCAGCCCCTAACCTTTATTTCTGACAAAAATGTTCCCTAACTATAACTCTTTCCTCTTTCCATGACAAGAAAGACCCTTTGTATTGTACCACAGAATACTGAGCCCCGTTTATTTATTTTTAAAATCTATTTCTGCTCTGTTCTGACTGGACTATTTATTTTGATCTATCTTCTCTGACCCCTCCTCTGTCATTTATGTTGTTATGGAGTCCGCTGATGTGTTGAGCTTGCTGTGGATGTTGTCATTTTGGATATTATTTATTTTATACTTCTAAAATTTCAGTTTAGTTCTGTATGTGATTCATTTGCTCTTCTGCTGAGGTGGCCTACCTTTCTGTTCATCATGGGAGGGGGCTGCCCTTACTCTTTGGAGCATGCCTATAATAGCTGCTTTTATGTTTCAATTCCAACAGCTGTACCTTCTTGGAGTCAATACCTCTTGATTTTCTTTTTGTCTTTTCCATTTATAGATGTTGAGATTCTCCCGCATCTCCAAAGATCAAGCAACTTTGGCTTGTATCCTGGCCTCGATGAATACTGGGTCATGGGACATCATTCTTGCTTCAATCCTATTTTGAATACTGATTTTTCATTCGCTTTAGCAATTAGCCTGCTGGGTGGGGTCAGCCTACAGGTTTGTCTCTGTCTTCTCAGCTGTGGCTTCAAGATCATTCCCATTAGCTGGGGATTTAGCTCAGAGGCACAGCGCCTGCCTGACAAGAGCAAGGTCATGAGTTCAATTCCCAGTACCGGAAAAAAAACAAAACAAAACAAAAAAAAGATCATTCCCATTTGTAAGGCTTTGCAGTGCTGCTGTCTTGGTCTATTCCATGTGCTAGTCTTGAACCTAAGACCAACCTGGAGTCCCAGCGCTCAATTCTGAAATCCTCTGGTATCTCACATAGGGTCAACTTTGGGGTAAGCTCAGGTAATGATACAGAGAGAGGTAGCCAGCTCCACTTGACCAGAGCCCAAACTATACCAGTTTGTAATGCTCTGCAAGCACTTAATCATTACCTAGTATTTTTCTTATCATCTATTCTTTTGTCTGTTATCTACCTCCCCATCTGCAATATGAACTTCAGGGGAGCAGCAGCTTTGTCCCTGTGGGGATCACAGCCATTGCACCCTCTTAAATGCTGCCTGGCACACAGAATGGGCTCTGTAGAGGTGTGGAGTGACTGAATCTCCCCTCTCAGTTGTAAAGGCTCTAGAGACAAGTGCCTGTCTCTTTCTTTGGACTCCTCTTCCTCAAACTCTCTCTCCACCAACACAAGGCTTTACACATTGCTCAGAAGCAATTTCCAGGTTGCCTGGCACCTAAGGGTCAGGCCCGAAGAAAGCCCAAGACACTTGGGGGAAAACCTGACAGCTGTATCTGTTGGGAGGATCCCTTCCATTGGAAGTATTAGAAAAACCCCTCCGACCGGTTGTGACAGGGAGGGAATTTATTACTTCGGGTAAGTGAGAAGTTCCAAGATAATGCTGGCTGTGGGTGAGACTCCATCTGCTGAGTCAGAAGTGCCCCAAGGTGGGGCAGTTATAGGGAGAGAAGGACATGAATGTCGGGCAGCAGGAGCACTAGATGTCCGCTACCGCGGCCCCCCTGCTAAGGAGCACAGCAGACTCTCCCTCTGTGTCTCACTGGCTCCAGCCTGCTGCTTCCGACACAGTTGCATTGCAGCGGCTGTCTCACAGATCAAAGTCACCCAACTCTCAAAGGGGGTAGGCAGGTGCAGGGAGGGCAGACTCCGGGGAGGGTGAGACGGCGTGGTGTTTGTGGCATCTACAACAGCTAGGGTGGGCGCATGACCTGCAGGGTCAAAAGATAGCTGCCAGGAGAGAAGAGGGAGTCTGTGGGTGAAGAGCTGAGAAAGCAGGAGCCGTGTGTGTGTGTGTGTGTGTGTGTGTGTGTGTGTGTGTGAGAGAGAGAGAGAGAGAGAGAGAGAGAGAAAGAGAGAGAGAGAGAGAGAGGGAGATTCCCCCATGTCAGCCTCTGTGAAAGGACAAAGGTCTGCCAACTGAATTCTTGCTGGCAAACTTGGACATGAACGGGCAGGTTAAGGTCCAACCTGTTTTCCAGAGGATGAGGAGTGGACTGACAGGGAGACAGGCTACCAAAGTCCTGCAGGCAGTTTAGCCCATCAGTGACTTCTGGGTTGTGCTGCTGCCCACGGCCCTGCGCATGCTCACCACCAGTCCTCACTGAATCCGACACCCGACGCCACCACTACCTACCTGTGCAATAGTCAGGCCCCACACTCGCCCCTTCCTCAGCCCTGCCCTGGAAGTCCATCTGGCTGCTGTGTCCAGATCCCAGGCCTTCACACGGCAGGTTTGGATTCTGGGAGTACAGGGTAATAAGTCCCCATGGGTTTCTGAGGTGGGGATTCACCTAAAGAGTCATCTGAATTCAGTGGTCCCCAGGGTCAGCGGGGGCGTCAGTCCACAGAGGGCGGTATGGATAGGGAGGACACTGGCACACTTCTGTGGAACTTGAATGTAGGGACAAGATGCAGAGATGGGGTCTTCTAGCCATCTGAGTGTCCTCAAAGTGACAAAGCCATCTGCTGGCAGATGACACCTTTGGCTCCTTTGTTAAACAGAGGGGCTTCCCAGCTGCTACAGAGCTGCTCTCCTGTGCCTCCTGTCGCTGATTGCACTGCTTCCATGTGGGGAGCTGGTCTGGCCTCACACATGAGACCACAAAATCACTGAACTCTGGGATCATCCGGCTCTCAGGCTCCCACCCCTCATCCATGCTGAGCACCAGGCACGGGAACCGTGAGGAATTTCACCTCCAGCAGATCTGATAGACAGACACTCAGCTGGTGCCAAGAGGTCGGGAAGCTGGGGAGGGATAGGCCTTGCTCCTCCCTCCACGTCCTGCACTAGGGAGTCCCAGCCTCAGGGGAGGCCACAGTGACAGTCACTGCAAGCATGTCACATGCATAGGCCGCATTCACCCCACTGCTGTTCATCCGCCCAGCTTTCAGGATCAGCTCAGACGGTGGCTTGGCCTTGTTCTTTGACACCAAAGTGCCGGGACTGGTTTGCAGGCTGTTTCTGGCTCCTTGACAATCCTTTCCTGTTTTGGAAGCTAAAGAATAACATTCAAAAAGCAAGAGGTTTGGTTTAAAAACAAAAAACCCCACCAACATTCCACCGGTGGAAAGGAAGATGGTCACTCAGTGGCAGAGACATCTGTCCCCTCTACTCAGACTGACTGGCCGTGTCCCTTACTTTCTGGCCTCAGCGACACTGAAGCTGTTTTCTCTGTTGTCCCTGTACTCTTCTCACGTGTCAGAAACTATGAAGTTGTCCACGTGCATGACACATCCTCAAGCCAGTTCTTCCTCTGACCTCCATCCTTGGCAAGGAATCCACCAGCATCATCAATGGTTAAAAACAAAAAGGTGGAACTTAGGAAATGAAGGTTCTGCAGAGAAATGAGTCACAGCAGGGAGGGGTTTGGCTTCCAGTTCCTTCAAAACAGGACTTTGGGGACAAAGAGGAGGCAACTCAGCAGTGGTGTAGGAACAAGTCCCTGCCTCTGTGGAGAGCGTGTTACCTAGAGGTGTCCCGGGGGCCAACTCGTGATGGCAAAGGTATCTTGGGCATCAGCACCTCACCTGTCACTGTGGGCTGATGGGAAGGCACAGGGAGGGCGTCTCGTCAGACTGGCTCCTGGAGACATAGTGAAGTTTCTTTTCCAAGGCCAGGTTCTTACAGGTCACCACTGTGGCGGGGTGACCTTCCACATCATGCTAATTTCCAAGAATGAGGACCGTTGTGATTTGGATAGAATTTAAGTGTCCTCGAATCTCCGGTGTTGGGAGCTTGGTCCCCTGTGTGGTGATGTGGGGAGCTGCAGGGACCCTGAAGAGGTGGGGCCTGAGACAGTTGGCTGGGTCACGAGGATGCTGCCCTGAGCAGGGATGCAGGTAGGTCCCATGGGTAGCTCTCGGCAGGGCAGAGTGAGTGGTGATGAAAGGACCCTCTCTGCTCCATGACTTGCTGTCCGGCCTCATGTGTGAACTCTCCCTACTGGCAGGCCTTCACTAGAGCCCAGCGGATACTGGTGCTGCACCCCAAACCTTCACAGTTGTGAAGTGAACAAACCTCTTTTCTCTGTAAGTGACCTCACTTAGGTATTCTGTCATAGTGGTGGAAAATGGACTAATACAAAGACCAATTTAGGTTAAGGGTTAAGGTAAGTTAATTAAGATGTAGCCCAGAAGTTTAACAACCCCACAGATCTCTAAAATATATGCCCCTTTTATGGCAGAATGCTATCCAAAAATCTCTAATGGTCCTAATAGTTTAGGTTAAACCCTTTCCAAACCAGTCATACTTTTCTTCAAGCAGCTTTCTTAAATTTTATTTGCACATGTAGTTCTTAAATGTTAACATCTCATCGGTAGAAAACGACACCTGATGTCTTTACTCAGTGTGTCAGCTGTGTTACCCATGCGCTCTGATCTCAGGCAAATGATCTAACATGCCGGCCTGTGTCTTCAGCAGTAATATGAAGAAAACCAGTATCTTCCTTCTCTAGTAGTTGTAAGGACCACTGGACTAGCTCAGAACAATGCCAGGCACACAGTAGGCACTCTAATGCCAGCTGCTACTATTAAGCATCAGCTGCTCCTATTATCAGTATTAATTATCAGTAAGGCTGGGACATTCTGCCAGTAGCCACAGATTTATTTGAAATGGAGAAAGTTCCAACTAGCTGATATCTGTACTCCAGAAGGGCGCGATAATGTCCAACAAAAGCAGATTTGACTTCTTTTGACATATTGATTTTAAAAGGCAAAAATGATTAATTAGGGGTAAATCATATTCAAATATCAGACTGAATTGAGTGAGTAACAAATGAGAAGATAAATTTTATTAGCAGAACTTGTAAATTTATATATACTGGATATGAAATTCTTGTCAGATATATGATTTGGAAGTATCTTCTATCTTGTGGGCTGTTTCACTTTTCTGAGTAATCATCAATTTAGCTTTTGATAAGATCTTGCTTTTATAGAAATCTATACTATCAATTTAAAACTTCAGTAGTTGGTTTTTGAAAAAAGTTGTCTTCAAATTAAGATGTAACAGTATTCCTTATAAAATTCATTTTATTTTTTAAAAGCATTTGTATTATTGGATAAATGTTATCTTTAAAAATATAATCTGTACAAAAAAGGAGCAGGCTCTCAGAATGGGTCAGTTATTTTGAGTTCTGTTACCAGAGCCACAGATGCTGCGGGCCAGGCAGCCGCCCTCAGTTGGGACTCCTCCTTCCAGCGCCCAGGAAGTCATAGGCCTGCTCTGAGAGGTCGAAAGGCTCGTGGACTCCGCCCTGAGACAACAGGGCCTGCAGGGCGCCCTCGTTCTCATGGGTTTGCTTGAGGAAGTCAGCGATGATCTTCCACCGCGCAGCCTCGGTCTCCTCTTCGGCCCACCTGAAGGGGGGCAGGAGTGTGGAGTGCAGCAGCGGGAGCACGCAGTCATGGTAGACCAGGAGGAAGCTGGCCTTCAGGAGCTCTCGGTCTCTCTGGGGAAACACCGCCGTAACCGTAAGCAGACCGCACCGTTATGCTTGAAGTAGGAGATTCTAAGCCCTGTTAAAAGCCACCTATATTTTGTTTTTGTCTATGTTGTTGATATTTTGCTGTGGTTCTTTTTCTTGTTATTCTCTTTAAAATAAATAAATAAAAGCCACCCATAACGTGGCATGGAGGAGGTGCCCTTTGTGCTTGGCAGCTAAAGAGCAACCCCAGAGCACAGCTAGGCCATCCCCTGAGACAGTCTCCAAGTGTATCCTCGAGTGTCACACACTTGAGACCATGGCCTCCCATCTAACTCTGGTAACAAAGGGATTGTTCCACTAAGACGCAGTGCAAGGCCAGCTGTGTCTGCTTAGCCCAATTATAGCACAGCAGAGACAACTGTAAGGGGGACAGATTTACACATGGGGTCCAGAGAAACGAGACCCAGGCAATAAGGAGTTGGTAGAGCTGGAGGATTTTCAGCAATGTGTGGGTTGGGGAGCAGGGTCCTTTGGTCCTGAGGGTGCCAGATCCTGGTAACAGGAGTGGAGCCAAGTCAACAGGATCCATCAAGCCTTGATGCCAAGAGGCCATGGTGGGGTCACAAAGGGCACAGCAGCTGGAGGGCAGAGCGACTTGTGTACAACATTCTCCACACAGACATCGGCCAACCACACCAGCGCCGGGGCCTGCTGCGGTACTGCAACCTGCCCCTTTAGCAAAGGTTGTGTGCCAGGGTGGCAAAGGCTGCGTATCAAATGGAGCCCAAGTAAGCACACAACGTATAACTCAGTATATGGTCTATAGCCCCTCCCCCCTGTTAGAGTTTTCAGTTTGTCTGTTCTCCCACAACCCTTATATCAACATGTTAGATCAGGAACTGGCAAGCACTGCACCATGGGGAAATGCAGCTGCGGCCTCTTTGTGTACAGAAAGCATCAGAGACACATGGCTACCCTCAGTCGCTCGCATTACAACAGCAGAGGAGAGTACCTGCAGTGGGGACGTATGGCCTGCACGGTGAAAAATCCTGCCTGGCCTTTTACAGAAGTCATCTGCCAATCCTGGGTTAGAGCAGTCAGACCGCTACTCACAGATCCATGTGACTTCTATGGTAATTACCATTCTAAGCAACACGAGCAGAACCAGGTACTTGTTTAATAGCTGACATAGCTCAGGCCAATCTTATTTTTCCTTCTCCTTATGCGATGTAGGTGTTGGGAACTAGAGGGAGTTTTTCTTTTTTAGATAAGGGATATATGATACCCAGCTGGGACACTCTGGTTTAGAAACTTCCCCTTCATTGAAATAAACCTCAGTGACCCGAAATGACTTTCTTGATCAAGAGTCCCTTCTCACACTAACGAAGGATCATGCACACCCTTTGTAGAATGTGTCTTTGCAACCAAAATAACATGCTATCTGAGTAAGTGGGATTATGATTTTTTAACTAAAAAATAAGTATTATTAGAATGTGCAAACAATCATACCACCACAAATACAAGATTCCAGTGTGAAAAACTGTTATTACCTTCTCTGATCTTTTCAATGTGCTTTCTTTTTCAGCCCATGAACTCTACAAAAGCCAACAGAAATATTACATTAGTTTGAGTATTCACAAATCCTTGCAACACCTATGTAACTTTACTCTGTATTAAACTTATGAGCTGGGTGTGGTGGTGCACGCCTGTGATCCCAGCACTGGGGAGGCTGAGGCAGGAGGATCGGTGTGAGTTCAAGACCAGCCTGGCCTACAAAGTGAGTGCAAGGCCAGCCTGAACTGCATAGCGAGACCCTGTCTCAAAAAAGACAAAAAACAAACAAAAAACCAAAAATAACCCAAAACATGTATGGGCAGGGTTAAAAAAGCTGCTCAGAATCTACACATGCCAGAAGCAACTCTGTAAAGTTAGGCATCCACTGCTAAGAGATATGTGAAAGACACCACAGAAAGAAGCCCTGTTTTTTGTTGTTTTGTTTTATTGAGACAGGGTCTTGTTATATAGCCCAGGCTGGTCTTGAACTCACTATGTAGCCCAGGGTGGCATGATCCTCCTGCTCTAGCTTTCCAATTACTGGGATTACAGGCATGCACCACCATGCCCATTTTTCATTTAAATCAGAACTAATTTTTTTGAAGTGTCTGTAATCCCAGTACTCTGGAAAGCTGAGACAGATGGAGGATAGTAAGCTCAAGCCCAGCCTGGACAACTTAAAGATTTAGCAAGACCCTGTCTCAAAAGAAAAAAGGAAAAGAGGGCTGGGGATGTAGCTCAGTGCGAAGGCTCTGGGTTCGATCTCCAGTATTGGATTAGGGGAAAAAAAGAGAAGAGAATCAGTGGCCACCTCCTTGTCAACTGCACAGACCCAGCATGGACAATGGAATGGTGTTAGGCTTCTAAATTAGCCCTCTGAGGTAAGACAGCAAGGAAAGTAGACAACGCTGCCAAATGCCCCGCTTCCCAACAACCCTGCCTGCCGCGATGATACTATCGGGTGGGGTCAGACAGACTGAAGTGGTTTTGTGAGTAAATATTTCCAATCTGTCCACAGACGTCACAAAAGCTTCTTGAGAGAAAAGAAAACCCAGGGTTCAGCTGATCCCACAGAAATAGGAACTGAAGCCCTCACAGAGCAGCTCCCGGCAGACCCGGGCCTGGATGGAATGTGACCGGGCTGCTTGTCTCAGGGCCTGGGTTTGTGTGTTTGTGGGAGTCTCCCTGTTGGCAGCCGGTTCCTTGGGTAACCTGAAAGCACAGAGCCAAGCAAGAGGTTCTCCAGGAAAGGAAGGGGCACCAGGGGCTCGCAGGAGGGCTCAGAAGGCTCCTGGTTAATCCCTCATGCGAGTGTGGGCCCCACCCTAGCACACCTGCCCGTGGGTGCTCCTGAGGCTACAGAGGACCTTCGAGAGCCTGAGTGTCTCATGAAACAGGCCAGATGCCTGTATTTTAAAAACACCAAACACGCAAGAGAGCGCAATGGTGCACCCAGCAGGGACTCCACCTACTTCTTGGGTCGCAGAGGCAGTCTTTGGGAAGTGACATTTGTACTGAGCGGAAGGTTGAGCCTGGGTTAGCTAGACAGTGGAAGAGACCGGGAGACACCATCCCACTGTGCTAGGAAAACAGCCTCAAGCAGGTGCCAGAACTTGTTCACATGGTGTGTTCGGCCCCTTCCAGGACGCAGCCCATTTCCCACACGGCTGTGCTACCCACCCTCAGAGCGTCCATCACCTCGGGCTGCTCCAAGAGCTGGGGGAAGGAGGCCAACACTGGATGACTGATTAGATCTGAAAGACACAAGAGGAGAAGCTTAGGGGAACGCCATTCACTGTACCTTACTGCACTAGACACGCAAAGATCCAGTCACATTAAAATTACGATACCAAATGATCTCTTGATAACACCATTTATACACTTTAACCTCAACCTCTGCCTATCCCTACACCTTATCCAGGTGTTCCAGGAAAGAACTAAGACCTGGAGGTTCTGGTCACATGACCGAATACTGTGTGGGGAACACTGATACTGTCCTATGAACAGTGGCACCGAAGACACAATACAAAGTGCTCAGCAGCGGGCGCGTGTGGGGCCACTGGTGCCGCTGCGCCAGAGCACCTGGACCTGGATCATTCACAAACAGTGGAAATTTACATCGCACAGCCCGGGATGCCCAGGGCCCCGAGATCAAAGCGCCAGCCAAGCATTTGGTACCTGGTGAGGGCTGTCTTACTGGCCCTTTGGAGAGAGTAACACTGTATCCTCACATGGCAGAAGGCAGAAGGGCAAGCAAGACAGATTCTGGAGGTCATGCCCTTCTGTAAGGTCACCTGATGCCACTTGCGAGAGAGGAGCCTTCTTGGTGGAATCGCCTCTCGAAGCCCCCTCCCCTTGATACCATCACCAGGGCAAAGCCTGGAATTGGAAGCAGACACCTTCAGACCATAGCAGGTACTTCTGAAATGGCAAGGGTGATACATTGGACAACCCCAAGTCCTTAGTAGGGAGTAGTCCTTTCTTTACATCCCATTAGGCTTCCTCTGGTGCTCAACTGCAAACAAAGCCATCAGTCTTGAGCCACTGTCTCCTTACTAGAGAAAAAAATAACGTACCTCATCCCCCTTAAGAAGTAAATGTCACTCCTGAAGCTTTTCTAGAGTTATTACAATCAACTCAAAGCTAAGTGTGAGTTAAAAGGCCTAACTGTCCTCCCTTGGGGTTGTAACTATTCCTTGCGAAATCTCCACGCCACTGTGACTCGGGTTCAACTCCTACTTAGCGGTGCAGGTGGCAAGTCCCTGGGCGAGGGACATCACCCGTGCAAGGTGCCAGCCCCAGCCCACCCCTGTCGCCCCACCCACTCCGGCACAAGCACACAAGCACATGTTCTTGCCTTGGCGCTCAGACATGCTGGGTCCTCTATCCAGAAAGGACCCCCCACGCCCAGGTGTTGAATTCCTTTTTTTTTCTTTTTTTTTTTTTTTTTTTTGAGATAGGGTCTTGCTATGCAGTTCAGGCTGCCCTTAAGTGCACTTTATAGTCCAGGCTGGTGTGGAACTTGCAAGGATCCTCCTGCCTCAGCCTCCTGAGTGCTGGGATTACAGGAGTATGCTCAGCTTAAATTCCTTTCTGAGCTCTCATTTTAATTAGTCTTTGCTCAGAGCAGCATTTCCTCCCACGAATCCTGGCCCTCCTAGTGTTTACCCTCTCTGTGCATCTTCCTTCTGAGCATCTATTTCAAAGGACGAATGGCTTTGTGTGTCTGAGGCCTGTTGCTCCATTAGGAGAGGGACGACCCTGCCTGTCCCATTCATCATGGACCTATATGATGTCTGGCATGCAGCAGACCACACGTATCTGCTTGCTGACCTACTGAGTTCAAACCACAGCCAATAAAACTAAACGGTGTTCCTTTTTGAGGGAGATTCTTCTGACACATGCATTTGCCCTTGCAGGTTCATTCATGTCAGTAAAATGTGTCACTGGAAAAAGTTAAACGCAAGGGAAAGCAACAGGGAGGAAATGAAGGACACAAAAAGCTATAAAATGTAAAGGAAAACAAGTAACAAAGTGCTGAAAGTAAGGCCTTTCCTATCAGGAATTACTTCAAATGTAAATGGATTAAAACCCCAATCAAATAATTATTTAACATTTTACTTGGAACAAATTTCAAACTCAATAGAATTTGCAAGAATAAAAACAGTACATAGACAATTAGAATATTCTTTACCTTGATTCACTGATTTTTGTTTTGTTTTTTTGAGACAGGGTCTCACTATGTAGGTCAGGCTGGCCTTGAACTCACAGCAATCCTCCTGCCTCAGCCTCCTGAGTGCTGGGGTTATGGGCATGCGCCACCATGCCTGGCTGATTCACTGATTTTTAACTAATCCAATGACACCTATACTTCATGTATTAAGAATCAGCTATTTGAGGATTTTGGTTTCTTCCCCAGATGATAACTTGCACACCAAATACACGGGGAAAAGATAGGTTATTTAGAGACAGGCTGGGAAAATACAAGTAGATTTGAGTTTCAAGCTCCCATAACTTAAAATGTGAAAGAGTACATCTGAAAGAACTGAATACGTATTTGAGCTCCCAAAGCTCCACACTCTGCATCCAAAGTACCGACACTGACGCCACCCACATACTTTATTCCAAACGTCCCACTTAGAAGCATAGTTACATCTACGCGAAGCACAGAGCATTAATGACAGGCTCCTTACCAGCGTTCTGTGAGCTCGTTCTGTCTTTCAGCAGCACATCTCCAAGAATTTGTCGATAAAATACCAACAGGTGAGAGCAGCACATACTTCCAATCAGTGTTTCTGGCAGGAGACTATTGCAGAAGAAAGAAATGCATCCTGTAAGCAATCCCCTCCCACCGTACCTACAGTGCTTTTTTTCTTTTTAAAGCTGTGCATTACTTTAGTGAACAGTTCCCAGTTTTGTTTCATTATTGGGAAACATTTTAACAGCTGAAAGGAGAATTTCCAGGCAGGTGGGCACAGTGAGCCTCAGAGACATATTTTAGGCGTGTGCTTTCAGTCTTAGCTGTGCTATAACCCTTGCGTTTCCATGTTAGCATAAACACCCCGATTAATGCCAACCACTTGTTTTGGAGAGGAAAGGACTGGTGAGCCACCAGCTGGAACAAAGGCCTGTGGCTGCCACGCCTGGTGCGGTGGGCGCAGAGGAAGTGCCGCTGTGACTGTTCTCGGGTAGGTGTGACACTCGAGGGCGCGACACACCTAGGCTGGATCCCGACTGCGCGATTTCCTAGCAGCGGTGGACTAATTACTACTCACTGTCCTTGTACTTTCATTTCCTCGTGTGTGAAGAGCATTATCTGCAGTTCACGTTACCCAGAGGATTGGAATGGCGGGAGGGTGGCGTGCCTAAAGCAGTGCCTGTGTACAAGGGGCTCAAAACCAGAAAACAATTGCACAGTGAAGTTGTTATAATTTTGGAATGTGCTGTGTAATCCCCATGGTAACCACAAAGAAAATATCTACAGAATATACACAAGAGGAAACGCCTAGGGAATAAAAATGTGTCACTGTAAAAAGTTAAACCCAAAGGAAAGCAATAGGGAGGAAATAAAGGACACAAAAAGCTATAAAATGTAAAGGAAAACAAGCAACAAAGTGCTGAAAATAAGGCCTTTCCTATCAGGAATTACTTTAAATGTAAATGGATTAAAACCCCAATCAAAAGATAAAAATCAGAAGAATAGATTTAAAAAGTTCAAATATATGCTGTCTATAAGAGACTCTAGGTGTAGGACACTCATAAGTCAAAGTCATCAATGAGACTCCAATTTTTATAAGCTACCCTTTAATTTTAATTTCTAGGAAAGTTTAGAAGGAAAAATTGTCAGGGAGGTAATGTTTAGGTTTCTAGCTGATCAGAAGAGAACAGACAGAATATGACCACTGTGATGATGCAAAAGCAATAGGTTCCATGGGTAGTTAGAGCCTGGAATTTAGGCCGAGTATCCTGTAGCACTCCCTGCATTTCTAGAAACACTAAAAAGAACAAGACGGGCTCTCTTACCACGTTCATATCATATATACTAACAGGCACACAGAGTCAGGAATCATTTTTCTAATGTTGCCAAAATTCCAACTGAGATTTCAAAGGCTGGCTGCAGGGGACCAGCCAAGCTGCCTGGGTGCCACCACATGCCCTGTCGGGGTTCCTGCTGTGACTCCCCAGGGTTGTCGTATGCCCTGCCTCTGGTCCCCAGCCCACCCGGGCGGTGTTCCCGCTGCACGCCCAGATTCAGGGCTCATGCTGAAGAACAGCCGCTGCCTTTGCCAGGGGAAGGGAGGAACCTTCCTTCCTCCTGTTTGGTCCTCACCTTTCTCCATCTGTCTGCAAGGCACCAGTGTGGGTACAGTGGGCCCGCCTTTCCTCCTGGCACCTTCCCATCACACGAGGCAACGTGGCTCCACTTTTTACAAGATTTCCTTCTGAGAAATCCCTGGCTTTTCTAAGCCCAAAGATGACCAGAAAGTTCTGGGCTATACAAAGTTAGCTGAACTGAAGAAATAAAAAGCTACTTCTCTCTGACAGTACAAACTCTGCTGGCGGGTGTGGGACAGATGTAACTAATGGGCCTCAGTCAAGTAATACTCCTGCTTTATTCATTTTTAGCAACAGTGTAATGGAAGAACAAAGAGAAAGGATGGAATGCACCAAAAGGGCAAGGAAAATAAATTCACAGCAAATTCATACACAAGTACATACAACCTACTCTACAGCCCAGTGTTTCTTGGCATTCAGAACTGGGAGAGTCTAAATTCGAGCCTTTCCCTCAACAGGGGCTTTGAAGCCGGCCTTGGTCAAATCCTACCAGGTTAATCCCCTCTGGAAAGCAGCTCCAAAAGTAGCAAGACAAATTTTGGTGAAGCAGAAGCGTCTATTTGCTTCTGATCAAAGAGACATGGTCACCACGATCACAACCAGTTCCACAAAACGAGACTGTGGACCCCTGAGGGCAAGCCCAATGCTCTTTCCTGCTGGAAGAGATGAGTCCGGTCTGCACTGGCTTGTTCGCGCTGTCACGGGTCTCCTGCTGGCCACAGGGCCCACACGTGTGAGGTTGCTGGCCGGTGAGGGCCGCCTATGGGCTTGCAGCAAGGGGACTGGGGAAAGGGCCCTGACCCACACTCTGACTGGGCTCGCACCCTTGGCCTGCCCTGTGGTGTGTCCTTGGCACAATGGATAAAACCCCCTATTCTTTCTCCTTGGACTAGAGAAGTCTGGCCAGCAGAGGTGGGGGTGGGGCGTGAGGTGGGGGGCACCTTGGAAGGACAGGAGAGCTGCGGTGTCCTTCCTGGCCTTCTCCCCTGTGCTGAGGAGGCAGATGAGGAGAGGCGAGGGTGCTGGGTGCAGACTCAGAGCTGAGAGGTCCTAACGCTCACCTGCTGGTGCCTGGCCTTTCACACATCCTCACACCATGGCCCGCACCCCAAAGCCCTGCTGCAGGGCCCAGGGCCTCTGATTTCACCGTGTCCTGGCCTGGTTTCTCTGAGAGGGCGGCCTGTGCCTGGGTCACAGCAGCTGGGTGGCCCAGCCTGTACCTGACAGTCCCAGGATACACCTCAGGATCAGGCAAAGTGACAGGCGCTCTCAAGACTGTGGGCTCCGGGAAGAGAGAAGAGCACACAACAGACAGGCCCCGGGGGGCCAGGTGCGCATGTACACAAGCAGGAGAGCCCCACTTGGAAATCGCTTCACCAACACTTCCTGGGCGCCCACTGTGTACTGTAATCAAACAATGCCTCCACCCCTGAGTTTTGGAGGACAAGGCTGCAGGACCCTTTGGTCAAACCCAGCACATGGAAGAGTGTTCCCGGCTTCGGAGGAATGGGCTGCCTGCCTGCCCTCTGTGCTGTGCTTGATCTTGAGGTTGTAAGAAGTATCTGAACCCTGGAATGTGGAGCCAAAGGCACAGCATCAAGAGCCGCCCCTGACAGACACGCGCGGCAGTGCCCTGGTTCCCAGAGGTTTGCCTTCCAGATGAGCGGCGGGGCAGCCAGAGAAGGGTGAGGTCAAATGGGACGCGGCTCTTCTCTTACAAAGACTGCTACTGTGCTGGGTTTCCACCTTGCAAAAGAGCAATTTTCTCATAAAAGACTGCCAAAAAAGAGAATTTACAGGCTTGAAGACATCCAAGAAAGAAAAAAAAGTCCAAGAGAGTAAGTAATACCTAGGAGCACATTATTAATGGTCACTGAAAGATTTAACTGTTAGTAGTGTAATAATAAGATGCACCTCAGTATTAGAGGTAAGAACAGGGATATTTAACCTCATGATCTGGAATGAGCAAAGCAACCACTCGGAGGGATGCCTTCTCTCCCTGCTTCTTGGTAACCTGTGGGTAAGGAGCCGGGCCTGGAAGGACAGTCCCCTGCATCGGCTCGGCCCCACGCTGTGCTCCCTCCGCCCTGTCCCCCCCGGGTGCCCAGGCCCTGTGTGGGAAGTTCCTTTCCTCTCTCATAGCCACCCTCCTCCAACCCTGCAAAGTTTGCTTCTACTCCTCCCTGGATCCTACCGGGTGAATAGCACATCTTCATTCAAACAAATTTTACAGCACTATTTGGCATTATACACATTTATTATTCTAATGGTAAATAACGATGGCTAGCGCTATAGTGTTTTGCTGAGTGCCATGCATAATCTATACAAAGTAAGTCCTTTATATGCTTTCTTTCCATTAAATCTTGTTACAGTTTTGAGGGGTTTATATTGGTATGCCTATTTTTTTCAGAATAGTCTCAATATTGTAATAGTGGTACATAAATCTCTTTTAAGTCTAGTGTAAAGTCTAAAGGGCACTGAGTGAGAAACTAGTAGATCTGAGATCTGAGATTCCATTCGTATAAATGTCTCCTGAACAAAACACAAGTTAAAAACACCATGGGAAACCACTACTTACTTTTCAAAATGGTCAGAACAGAAAAAACTAGTAATACAAAGTGCTGTCAAGAATATGGAGTAAATGAAACTCACGCACTGTTAGTGAGAAGGTAAATGGTATAGTTGTTTTGGAAAACAGTTTGGCAGCTTCTTATAAAGTTAAAGCAAAACCAGATGACCCAGCAATCCCACTCCTAGGTTATCTCTACCCATGAGAAGTGGAGGCAGATGTCCACACACAGGAAACCTGTATGCAAGCTGTGCGTGGTGGTGCATTGCCTGTCATCCCAGCACTCTGGGAGGCTGAACCAAAAGGATCACAAGTGTGAGCCCAGCCTGGGGTATTAGTGACTTAGTGAGACCCTGTCTCAAAATCTCAACATTAAATTTTTTTTTTAAAAGTTGGGGATGCAGTTCAGTGTGAAGGCCTTGGGTCCAATCTCCAGTACTGGGCAAAAAAAAATCTTGTATGCATGTGTTTAGAGCCCTTTATTCATAATTACCCAAACTAGACACAGTCCAACAACCTAGAGGATGGATAAACAAACTGTGGTATATTCATCAAATGTAACACTGCCTAGAAAGAAAAGCAACAAAGGAACATGTGCAGCAGCCTGGACGAACCTCCGCTGCATCATGCTGAGAGAACGAAGCCAAATTCAAAGGCCACTGCTATGGATTCCATTTATGAAAGTCTGGAAAAGGCAGAACTGTTAGGGAAGAAAACAGGTGAGTGGTTGCCTGAGGCTGGGGGACTGTAAAGGGATGTGAGTTTAGTTTTTAGAGTAAGGGAAATATTCTGAATCGTAATTGTGGCTGTTTTTACACGATTGTACACATCTGTCAAAACTCTAAGAATCATACACTACACGGGATAAATTTTGCTGCATATAAATTAAATCTCAGTACACCTGACAATAAAAATGAAAAAATTCCCTAAAGATAGGATTACACACTGGTAAGCCCCATATATTCAAAAGTGTCTGAATTATTTATGACCCAATATATCACTTGGGTTAACTAGTCAATGGGAGAGTAGGTGAATATCTGCTGATAGTGTTTGTTTGTTTTGTTTTACAGGGACAGGGTTTCCCTATGTAGTTCAGGCAGGCTTTGAAGTCACTCCTAGCCCACCCTGGCCTCAAACTCTTGGAGATTCTCTTCAGTTACAGGTACGCACCTCCACGCTCAGCTCCCAACTGATCTTTGGCAGAAGAATTAATGAGGAACAAAACAACTGACAAAACAGTGAGCTGACTAGGCAGGATGCAAAGCCAGAAGCAGAGGCGGCCCCCAAAGTCTCCCGAGCCCATGGGAGAGGTGAGCAGGTACCGACCTTAGTATGTGTCTTGATCGCTGGTTCAGAGACCTCAGTTTCACCAGAAGTTGAGGCTGCCTTCGCATAGTCAGCATCTGATGGAAAACGCTGCTGTGTGCTGTTAAAAAAAAAAAAAAATCAAAGACAACCCTAAAAAGTTGAAGTGTTTGGGAGCGAGTATAATAAAGCAAGTGTCTGATGAAAATGTGCCACCAGCGTGCTGAAGTGTGTGATAGGCGGGAGTCCCCGCGTACTCTTGGAGAGCTGAGGACACAGGGTGACGTGAGTGCTGATGGCCTCGGAAAGGCACCGGGCTGTGTCACTGTGGGAGTTTAAAGGGCACACGTGGCTTCAGAACCAACTGCGTCCCAGACCCCAAACTCCTTCCTGTTCTAACAAGTTGGGACACCAGCCCTGTGGGGACGGCAGCAGCGATCACCAAACAAAGGCGGGGTGCTGAGGAGAGCCAGGGAGCTCCACGAGGACAGGAGTCTTACCCTCCGTTCCCCAGGCCCCAGCACACTGCCTGGCCGATGGCCACAGTAAAAGAGACTCAACTTGCTGGAGGGCAGCGCGGCCGTGCGCATCAGTTTCACTGTCTACACGCTCTGACTTTGCCACAGGCGAGCTCTGAATCAGCCTGGGCTGTTTTTAAAAGCGTGAACCCAAGTGAAGAACACAGTGAGAGCTGCCTTCTCGGAGGAACCTGCGATGTGCTCCAGCTTTGAGGGAAGGAAAGCGACACCTAAGAGCTGTACCTCTCCTGGACACAGAAGGGTCCACTTCCACGCCTTTCTCGTAGGGAGTCCCGCCATTCAAGAAGAGCTCGTAAGTTCTAGAAAAGGAAAACCCGCTATGGTGGGTACGCCTCATGGGCATTTTGTGAACACTGGAGTCAGCAGTAAAATACACTTGAGCACAAAGGTATTCACAGACTTAATATTGACTATTATGTCTACAATCAGTGATAAAAAGGAGACAGCTGTGGGTCCCTAGTAGGTGCCATCTCGGTCAACAGACTCTTAGTACAAACTATAGGGAATATGTTTTTTTCATGAAAATGAGAAAGATTCATCGACATTATTTGACTTTAATGACAATTAATAACTACTTTGAATACATTTTCCAATGAATTGAGTCATTATTGGAAACAAAGCCATTATGAATTTCAATTATTTTTAAAATATAAAAGTGATGTGTATGTAATGCTATAAAAAATTTGGATGGCAAAGAAATCTCTTCCCATCTTTCCTTCCTACTTTGGCACATCATCCCCTCTTATCTTTTTCTACGCAAAGGCAAACAAATATACAGGATAAACAGTGAATTTTAAAACTGATACACGTTCCCCCCACCACCCCGGTTGTGGGGATCAAAAGCACAGCTTCATGTAAAGACTACCGCAAGCTACACCCGCAGCCCTGCATGCATCTGTTCTGAAGTAGCGTACTACCTAGGTGCAGAAAGTAGAAGTTAAAAGGCCCCTTTGATCCTACCACGCCAGGATCCGGCTCCCTGGCACCTACCCACAGAAGCTGACAAATAGTTTCTAATGAACAAAAGGGGAGCCACAGCATTCAGACTGTTGTCTTGCATTTTGTATGCTACACACTGGAGGTGTTTCTGTATTACATCACAGAGCTCTACCTCGCTTAAAAAATACCTGTGACTTCACTTTTAGAAAGATGCAGATATATTTTCCTTATTTCTTTCATTAAGTACTGCAAAAAAAAAAAAAAAAAAAAATCCCTGAACATGTTTTCTAAACATGCCACAAGAGCTTGGGTTTTTACACCCACCCTTGCTAATGGGGGACCCCTCCCACCCATGGGGGTGACCCCAAGGCAGGAAGTAGTGAGGACTTTTACCTCTGGATTTGAGACATTACACACCACAGCCTTGAATTCTGTAATTCCGACTTGGGATCTTGCTCACTGTCATTCTGCCTGCCCTTTTGTGTCTCCTCTGTGAATTTGCTTATATCCTAAACTTAGAGCTGTATTTCCCCCATTTAGAAATTCAGATGATCTTTGTCTTACTAATTTTCAAGAGCTTTTTTTGTATTTGGGACAATGGGATTCTTACCACAAATATCTGCTTCCCGTCTGCCTTTTGCTCCTAAAATTTAAATTTATTTACAGCTCCCATGTCCCACCCACAGGAGAAAGGCAGAGGTACACAGGACCTCAGGACCCTCACTCAGCTTTCCCACTCCTTGAAGAGAATTAGGCTCTGTCGGCAGCACAGGGAAATGTGCCAGTACATGGGAAATTACTGACAGGACGTCCTCAGCAGCCAGTCAGTGCAAATATCTCTTAAAATGCTGACTCTACACATCATTTCTTCCTTCCTGGGATGAAACTCTGCAAGCTGTCCTTACACAGCACCTCAAACAACGCTCAAGTCAACAGTGAAAACTTGGTGAAGTGCTAACAGAACAAATCTGAGCTACCCAGACCCTAAAAGACGAACTTGTGCAAAACTGCTCATTGGTAAGGAACGCACAGCCCACTTACTTGGTTGGAATAGGAACACCACTGGCATCGAACAGCTTCAGAAAGGCCCAGCCACAACTTAACTCTCCTCGCTCACCGGTGGACTAGAAAGCAAAACAAGTGTGTGACTCAGAGGCCGCACACCAAGTCCTCTGAGAGGAACAAAACGTGTGTTCACCCCCAGGACTAAAGCAGCTCTTTCCCGGAAAATACAGTGAGACCTAAGAGATGCCCACTTCACTCAAACTGTAAAGATGGTACTTCAAGTGACAATCGTGTTTTTTTGAAACTGTTCTTAAAAATCCCTTGAACCTCATGAGGTGGCCACAACTGCTCTTGGGCCTGGAGTGCTACCTGCATTCTGTGAACTGGTCTCAAATTACACCGATACCGCTTGGGATTGAAACTCGGTTTCACTGCCAGGTGGAATGCAGAACTGGTCACTCAAGGGCTTTTGTGCTCAGAAGTTTCTCTACTGTCAACTGCCAGAGGCCACTGAGGCTGGCTTGGGGACCTGCTCCTCCTGCCGTCCTACACATTTGCAATACACATGCATGAGTCTGTCTTAAGGTGTCTTAGCAGTGGTACATAGGACCACTAATGTCACCTCTCTGTGATGATTCTCTGAGTTACTGGGGGCGGCCAAGTTGTTTATTATTAATTATTATTATTGTTATTATTGGTTTTTTGAGGCAGGGTCTTACTGTATAGTTCAGGCTGGTCTTGAACTCACAGTGATCTTGAACTACTTGAACTACTGTGTAGTTTAGGCTGGCCTCACACTCACAGTGATCCTCCTGCCTCAGCTTCCTGAGGGCTGGGATCACAGGCATGCACCACCATGCCTGACAGAGGCCAAGTTTATATTCTACATCTCTGGAGCTATTATTAGAACGTGCAGATGTGGACTGACCAGCACAGCTCACACCCACGGGTTCAACAGTTCATGTGACTTCTTAATCCAAGTTTCTGGTGTGCTCTTAAGAAAATGACCACTGTGCCAGGTCCTTTCATAACTCTCAGTCACAAAGTTAAGAGCACTTGGTCCCTGGAGGACAGAGGTGACCGGCCCCTGAGCTAGAATGCTTCTGTCACTTTTATTACTTTCTATATAGTCCCAGCCTTTTGAAACTGACATTCTTTCAAAGCACTAGCATTCACTAATGCCATGAATGCAAACAAATACCATTTTAAATGCCACCGAGAAAGCACTATCTACAAAATTAGAATCATTGTCGACTGACAATTCCACAAGGGATTAAAATTCTATTACACAGAAGCCTTCTAGTATTTTACCTGTAAATAGACATATTTCTAACACATCCCTTTCAACTGAGACATTAGAATGCTTTATGTTTCAGCTGACTTACATTGCGAATATAAGAAATTCCAAGTTCAAACAAGATTCCGAGGTCTGGGGATGAAGAATTGGACCTGATGAAACAATCCCCACTGAGCAAGCAGGGCAGGATGCCAGTAACCTGCAGTGGTGGAGAAACCAGAGTTACTGATGAGGAGGAAAAGCGGGGAGGCTGTTCAACTCCCCGGACCATCTGTGAATGGTTTATGCCCCTGCATTATGACAAAGGTCTTTTAAGGAAAATGAAAAGCAGATGTACTGATTACTGTTGCTTTACTTTTTGCTTTGGGCAGAGTCAATGTGAAGCGAGTATTGTAAGCAGGTCCCAGGCTTTATAAAGCATAGTTTGCACAAGGTGTTTACATAAGGCATTTACTTAGCCAGTGTCTGCACAAACAGAACTGAAATGAAAGATGAAGGCACACACTTGCTCAGCTCTCCTGACCCCTGTCTTGTAAATGTTCCTTTCCCTTTTGCTCATCTCTTCCCTCTCCCTAGGCAACCAAATCTCCCCTTCTTGCCTAAATAGTCCTACCTACCCGCCAGGGTCTACTTTCTCTTCTACAGTACCTGCTCTGGGGAATAAGGGCTGGATCGAACCTCCCCTCCTTGGGCTCCCAAAGCACTCAGAACCCCATCACCATTGCAGTCAGTCAATGATGTTTTCTACAGTGCCCATCCCCCAGGGCTCCTCTAAGGCCTTTACCAAACATCGTGCACAGGGGCCCAGCACAGGGCCCGGTACATGGCTAGAGCACCGCAGATGCAGGGAGTCACTATTATTCACAGATGTGTTTCTTCTCCACTATCCTGCAAATTCCCACACACCCAGGATGAATGCCTGGCACTTAGCAGATGCTTAACTGAACTCAACAATGGATTCTATACTTACGCATCCTCCCAATACACCTTTATATTCCAGGAAAGCACTAGAACATTCCACCCTCACACTTCACACACACAGACATGCCCCTGCAGACGGAGCCCAGCGGTTTCTCCCTGGGGGCAGGGAGCTCACGAGGTCACACTGCACTTGCGGGAGTTGTGCTAGGGGCGAGTGAGGACACAAGCACACACATCGAGGTGGCTGGGCCTCGAGCACGGCCTGTGTCCTCTCACCAAACCTCCCCATTGGTTGCTTTACAATCTTTTGATGCTATAAGAGGAAGGGCAAGTAAGAGTTTTCAGGGTGCAGTAACACAAACAAGTTAGTTGTGGGAGGGAAAGAAAATGCTAAAGTAACGAAACCTCGGTGGTAGAAATCAAGTAAAGTAAACTGTACACAATTAATGCTGGATGAAGAACATAAAGACATCTTTGATTCACTGGTGTCCACGTAACCCTGAGTCATGGTTTGAAAGTCTCGTTTGAGTGGTGACAGTCCCAGGGTGTAGGCACAGTCCTCAGGCGTCACCTTTGATTTTATCTGGGAAAACACAACTGTCAGTAGCACGGTGTGAAGGGTTCATTTTGGAAAAACACCCTACTTCCTAAATTTTATCTTCTTGTTTTCATGTTTCATCAAATGGGTATTTTCTAAAATTAACATCCACTGAATAAGATGATTCATAGGAATTATAGCGTTGGGTGAGTCAGGGATATGAGTAATTTTTTACCTAAGGCTTCAAGGAACACTAAGGAATTTAAAGATTTGAATCTGGGCCCGTGTGACTCTGTCACAGTGACAGCCTCACTTTAGAGCTTAACTTCATCAACTTAATAGGTAAGAGAAGTTCATTTTTATTCCACTCACTCAGCAGATCACCTACCTGGGGAGAAAAAGCCCACGTTTTGGGCTTCTTTGGTTGCCATGTGGCTCGGACTGTATGAATGTTGCTCAGGACCTGAAATGAGATTTTCCCTTTGAAATCATACTGTAGAAAGGTTTTTTTTTTTTTTTTGTCTTTTTGAGACAGGGTCTTGCTATGCAGTTCAGGCTGGCCTTGAGCTCACTTTGTAGCCCAGGCTGGTCTTGAACTCACAACGATCCTCCTGCCTCAGCCTCCTGAATGCTGGGATTACAGGCATACGCCACCACACCCGGGCTGAAAGTTCTTTGATGTATCACTACTTCTCAGTCCTGGAGTGCTGACAGCGGGAAAGGGGAGCTTTCATTTTTAATTTCATGCAGTTCCACGATGTTTTTCTTTTTACATCAACTCCAGCATACATGTAACTTTTAAAATAGTTAGTGAGAAACAAGCCTTACAACATTTATTAAGAAAACAATGAAGAAACTAATAAAATGAATTTGGACTTGGACCTTTGTGGCTGTAATAAGTTGTTATAAATGAAATACTTAAGAGCTGAGAGTGAAATTTCAGATAGAAGTGGCCTTTTAAGAGTTGGGACAAGCGGGGGCTGGGGATTTAGCTCAGCGGCAAAGTGCCTGCCTGGCAAGCGCAAGGTCGTGAGTTCGATTCCCGGTACTGGAGAAAAACCAAAAAAAAAAAAAAACAAACAAAGAGTTGGGACAAGCATTTCATATGTTGTCCTTCACCCTGTCGCTAAGACAGACACTGTCATCAGCTGGGAGACACACCACATTTTGCTTCAAGGTTCTAGGCTCACAAATTATACTCTTTTTGCAATTTAACCTCTTATGAAAAGCTACCTGTATGAGGTTTGCCCTGCAGTTTACACAAAACAATGAAACACAAAAGGAGCCAAACTTTATGTAAAATTATATGCCAAATTCTAGAAAGTTAAGGCCCATTAAATTTGTTTTTTT